TCTCTCCAAAATCCTCCAACCAAACACCCCCCTAGGATCAAATTTTCCCCCATTATTGAGATGGACAAAGGCGGTACAGCCAAAGACTTTTGGAGGTAGGTTAGGAGTTGGAGTTAAGGTAGGGAATATTTGTAGGAGTTTTTGACAGGGAGATGAAAAATTTAATATCCTAGATGGCATTCTATTTATGAGGTATGTAGCAGTAAGAATGGCTTCCCCCCAATAGTGTTTAGGTGTATGTAGGCTAGGATAAGGGATCGGGCTACCTCTAAGAGATGACGATTTTTCCGTTCTGCTATCCCATTTTGTTGAGAAGTATTAACACAGGAGCTTTGGTGGGTAATACCATGGTCTTTGAGGTAATGAGAGAGGTCTAAGTTAAAATAATCTCTGGCATTATCAGACCTAAGGGTGAGAATGTGAGTCTGGAATTGATTATGAATTAATTTATGAAAGTTTTTGAAGGTTTGAGTAACTTCAGATTTGTGGTGCAAGAGATAAACCCATGTCATCCTGGTGTGGTCATCTATAAAATTTACAAACCATTTGGCACCATTAACACTTTTAATATTTGCAGGACCCCAAACATCACTATGGATAAGTGCAAAAGGTTTAGAAGGGTGGTATCCTTGTGAGGGATATGAAGAGCGTACATGTTTAGACAATTGACAAATCTCACATAAGGGAAAATTGGAAATTCCATTCAAAAGTTCAGGGTACATCTTTTTCATATACTGAAAATTAGGATGTCCTAATCTATAATGTCATAAAAGTGCTTTCTCCAGTGTGCTGGTGGCTGCCATGTGAGTGATGCTTCTTGCCCTTGAAGTCTCGGGTTGGTGAAGATGATAGAGGTTATTATATGTCCTAGCACTGCCAATCTTCTTCCCCAATGCCAAATCCTGAAAAATACAATCATGAGATGTGAAAAGGACATTACACTTCACATCCTTGGTTAACTTGGTCACAGAAATCAAATTGCAAGTAAGTTTCGGAATAAACAACACTTCTTTTAAAGTGAGGTCAGGGGATAATTGCACAGTACCACAACCTTTAACTTCTGCTAAGCTGCCATCTGCTGTTTTAACAGCCTTGTCGGTGTGGAGAGGAGAATAACTGGATAGAAGAGAGGAATTACCCGTTATATGATCCGTGGCCCCGGAATCTACCAGCCAAGAGTCAGGGTTGCCATAACTAGTATGTAGAGCTGTGAAGTAGGTACCTGATTGCTCTGAGTGAGTTGTGGAAGATGGATTGCTAGGTTTCTCCTTGCTGGATTCACTGATCAGTTTGTGAATTGCAGCCAACTGGTCTCTGGTAAATATGCCATCTCCAAATTTGCTTTGCTGGACTTCTTCAACAGCAGCAATAAAATGCTTTTGATCTCGGCTTTGCCTTGGTTTCCAATCTGCAGGCTTGCCATGCAACTTCCAACAGGTTTCCCTTGTATGTCCGGTTTTATTGCAATGATCACACCACGGCTTACCATTCCTCTTTGGCTTTTGGTCAGTAAAGTGAGTTCTGTCATCAAAGTGAGTTCTGTTAGCAGCAAAGGCACTGCTGTCAGTGCTGGAGTCAACTTTCTGAATGCTATTGGTGAGTTGTTTTCGGCTTTCCTCCCATTTAACTTCGGAAAACACCTCACGCATGGATGGAATGGGTCGTATGGCCATGATTCTGCTTCTTACTGCTTCATCAATTGGATTAAGCCCCAAAAGAAAATTGTATATACGTTCTTTCTCCATAATCTTTTTGTAAAGTGCTGCATCAGCTGGGTTAGCCCATTCATATTGCTCATATAGATCTAATTGTTGCCAATATTTAAGAAGAGAACTGTAATAACCTGTCACATCTTTATCTTCTTGTTTGAGCTCCCTCAAGTTTCCTTTGATTTGGAAAAAGGCAGCTGTATTATCTTTTTTTGAGAAGGATTTCTTCACGCCATCCCAGATTTCTTGGGCTGTAGAACACAACATGTAAGTTTCAGCAATCTCTGGAGTCATAGGATTGAGCAGCCAGGACATGACGAGGTTGTTTTCCACAGTCCATTGTTAGTAACGAGAGTGAGTAGATGCTGGTGGTACAACGTCACCTATGCCAGTAAGGAAATCTCCTTTGCCACGTCCACTGATGAACATTTTGACACTCCTTGACCACAACAAGTAATTCCCTCCATTGAAGCGATGTCCAGTAATAACAAGGGCTGGACTATCATTTGGGAGGGTAGAGACTGGGTTGTTGTTGTTGGTTAGGGGCTGTTCAGGAGGGGTTGGGATGTATTAGTGGTGTTATCTGTAAAGAACCTTGGGATACACCACCCCAAAAGCTAGCTCAAAGGGTGGGAGTGCCCAAGACCCTTATAAAGGTCACATTAGTTGCTTATACAACCAATGTGGGACTATATATCTCAACACGCCCCCTTACACGAGAGCCCATTGGGCTTTAAGAGTGAATGATGCAACAGGCCCAACCTACCTGTGCTAAGAAATTCCACAAGAGAAAGTGGGGGGCGGCGAGGTTTGAACCCGGGACACGAGGCTTTGATACCTTGTAAAGAACCTTGGGATACATCACCCCAAAAGCTAGCTCAAAGGGTGGGAGTGCCCAAGGCCTTATAAACTCCACATTAGTTGCACATACAACTAATGTGGGACTATATATCTCAACACGCCCCCTCACACGAGAGCCCATTGGGCTTGAAGAGTGGAAGATGCAACAGGCTCAGCCTACCTGTGCTAAGAAAGTCCACAAGAGAAAGTGGGGGGCGGCAAGGCTCTGATACCATGTAAAGAACTTTGGGATACACCACCCCAAAAGCTAGCTCAAGTGGGGGGCAGTGAGGATCGAACCCGGTACATCGAGGCTCTGATACCATGGAAAGAACCTTGGGATACAATGTAAAGAATCTTGGGATACACCACCCCAAAAGCTAGCTCTAGCTCAAAGGGTGGGAGTGCTCAAGGCCTTATAAACTCCACATTAGTTGCTCATACAACCAATGTGGGACTATATATCTCAACACGCCCCCTCACACAAGAGCCCATTGGGCTTGAAGAGTGGACAATGCAACAGGCCCAGCCTACCTGTGCTAAGAAACGCCACAAGAGAAAGTGGGGGGCGGCGAGGCTCTGATACCATGTAAAGAACCTTGGGATACACCACCTCAAAAGCTAGCTCAAAGGGTGGGAGTGCCCAAGGCCTTATAAACTCCACATTAGTTGCACATACAACCAATGTGGGACTATATATCTCAACACGCCCCCTCACACGAGAGCCCATTGGGCTTGAAGAGTGGAAGGTGCAACAGGCCCAGCCTACCTGTGCTAAGAAAGTCCACAAGAGAAAGTGGGGGGCGGCGAGGCTCTGTTACCATCTAAAGAACCTTGGGATACACCACCCCAAAAGCTAGCTCACAAAGGGTGGGAGTGCCCAATGCCTTATAAACTCCACATTAGTTGCACATACAACTAATGTGGGACTATATATCTCAACATTATCATTGGTCACGGTTTGATAGGCTTTCATGGAGCCAAAGAGCAGCGGATTGTGAGACATGGTAGGATCAGGCCCTTGAACGAGAGCTCTGATACCATATAGAAAAAATAGGAAGAGGAATAAATAATTCTCCTTGTATTACTTGAAGGGAAACAATTACAATATATAGAAGTTCTGAGAAATCCTAGATTTATTTGAATCCCTGAAAAATAGGAAACAAAATAACTAATCCTAATTTTGCTGAATCTCCTAAAACATGAACGCACTTAACGATAGGATACTAATCCTAATTATTCAAATTCAAATGTAACAAATAGATATGAACAGAAATATTCTGTTCAAATTGCAATCTTCTTGGGATAACAACAGTGCTGATGTTCATTTCGGCACCCTCCATGTTGCTGATGTTCATTCCTGCACAGTTGTCTTCGCCGATGTCCATCCCGACATTGTTTCATTTCGTCGATGTCCATCCCGACGCCGTTTTAGCACATGTTGATTTTGTTTCCTCATTCAGGAGGAGATTTATTTTGATGTTATGTTTCTTAGTCTTTCTTGTTCAAGCTTGTTGCATATAATTTATATGCTCCAGCTCGAGGGGGGGTGTTTAGAATAATGTTAGAATAGTGGTTTAGAAGTCCCAGATCATGTATTTCTCATTATAATTCCTTTACTTTCAGTTATATAACAGAACGATCGTTGTGTAGTTTAAACACAACACCGATTACTCACAATCCTCTCAGATCTTGATATTTAACATAAGTAAATGTGACGACGGGTGAATTAGACACAATCCTATCTTATCCTTCAAACTTGGATGATAATTATTTTCAAATAACATTGTTTGGAAGGGAAAAGACATACACACTTATGACATGTCATCTTTTTAATGGGGCCACCCAAATGTATGATCTTACCAATAAGCATATCTGGGATAGAATATATCTAAAATTGTTGTTATGGGTGATAGGGATTGTGTGTAGTTATGGGTGATAGGGATTGTTTCAGATCAGAATATATCTAAAATTGTTGTTTTCAACATCCAGCTTTTGGGTTAAGGTTTCTGCCTCCTTTGTCATTTATTGCTTTTATTAAACTAGATTTCTCCATTTCTCAAAATAATTTTATTAAATTTTTAATGCTCCCAGATCCCCCCTTTTCAGACTTCTTACGCAAGAGTCAAGACTGGATTTAATAACAATAGTAGTCAGTATTATTTATAAGAAGCAATTATAAACATTCAAGGAAACTCAATGAGCAGGTTGACAAGTTGACACAGTTATAATAATTTTATATGTATACTTCTTTTTATCGTTGCTGCTAGTCTCAGAAGACACAATTTGGGGGGAGGGAGTTCCCATTTTTAGTTATATGGATGAGTAATAACATGCTTTGATTTTGTCCTTAAGTGTGGGATTTCAGAACATAAGTAAGTACATAAGCAGAGGTAGATCCTCTACAAGATTTAAACTTATAGTGTTTACATGATATTTTCTTTCCAGATCAAAAGTATAAAAGTCAGTAATGTTTCCTTGGGAGCAACTGAGAGAGACATTATGGAGTTCTTTTCTTTTTCGGGTGATATTGAATATGTTGAACTGCAGAGGTCAGTAAGTTACTGTGCTTGGTTTTAACTACCTTTTTAGAGTTTATTATACAAATCATAAGTTTATATATTAATGCAGTCATGATGAACGGTCTCAAATTGCCTATGTTACCTTCAAGGATTCACAAGGAGCTGAGACTGCAGTACTACTATCGGTAATCTTCCTGTCATTTATCATCAGTTAATATATATTTGTATCAAACATGGTTCTTTATAAAATAGTTAAGTATCTCATACACCTAATCTATTTTTCTTGGATTGACAACCAAAACATCATATATTCATTATTGAGAGTTTGAGACTTAGAACTATGGGATTGCTTGTCATCATCCAGAAGGCATTACATTTAGTAGACATATTCAGCATTTTGGCAAGTTAATGCACTGTCAGTGAATCACCTATATGGACAATTTCTATTTGAGAATCTTGGAGTGCCACATGGTCAGAAAATGTTAATCGAGAGGCTCTCAAAAGTCTCTTTTTGTTGAATCTCTTCCTTGCAACCACTAGAAAAGAAGATTTGTATATTATTTAATTGTATAATATTTGTACAATAGTTCTCTATTTAAAGAGACTAAAAAACTTAATGAGCTAAGCCAAAATACACTTATAGAGTATTCTAACTATTACAAAATAATAATAAAATAATTCTATTATTTGCAATACTTCCCCTCAAGTTGAGGAATGGATATTTATCATTCCCAGCTTGGTAGTAAGTTCTTGAAATCTATCATTAGGAAGACCCTTGGTTAAGACATCAGCCAATTGACGACCAGAAGGAATATATGGAGTAGTGATCAGTCCACTGTCTAATTTCTCTTTAATGAAGTGGCGATCAATCTCAATATGTTTGGTTCGATCGTGTTGAACTGGATTGTGGACTATACAAATAGTTGACTTGTTATCACAAAGTAACTTCATCGATCCTTCATATCTCACCTTGAGATCATCTAGAATGATTTTCAGCCATAATAACTCACAGATACCTTGAGCCATAGCTCGAAATTCTGTTTCTGCACTTGATCTAGCAACCACATTTTGCTTTTTACTTCTCCATGTTATAAGATTTCCACAGAGAAACATACAATAGCCCGAAGTAGACCGTCGGTCAGTCACGGATCTAGCATAATCGGCGTCTGTATAAACTTCTAAGGATAAGTTTCCTCCTCTTTGGAACAATAGTCCTCTACCTGGTATGCCTTTCAGATATTGGAGAATCCTGTCCACAGCTCCCAAGTGTTTCTCCCTCGGATCATGCATAAATTGACTAACAACACTAACTGCATAAGCTAGATCAGGTCTAGTATGAGCTAGATATATCAATCTGCCCACTATTCGTTGATATTGTCCTTTGTCAACTGGAGAGCTCTCATTTTCACTTCCTAGTCTGTGATTCTGCTCAATCAGAGTACTGGAAGGTTTACATCCAAGTTTTCATGCTTCTTTAAGGAGGCCAAGAACATACTTCCTTTGACAAATAAATATCCCTTGCTTTGAATGAGCAACTTCAATCCCAAGAAAAATCTCAATTTTTATTGTAAATACTAGAATTATTTTATTATTTTGTAATTTTGTAATAGTCAGTATTTGGGCTTAGCCCATTAGGTTTCTTTATTCTCTTTAAATAGAGAACTCTTGTACAGATAACGTACAGTTTTATAATACTGTTAGATATGATTAGTCTGAGTATATATGATTAGTCTGTAATTATCCTGATTGTATTAGGTCTGGGCCTTTCCTATAAGCCCATTAGAGTCTCTATATATTGTAACTCTCTGAATTAGATCAATACACAACATATTATTTTATATTCAAGTTGGTATCAGAGCGTTCGAAATCTCACCGCCTCCCACTTTCTTTGTAGTGGAATTTTCACATGTAGGTGGGCTTGTATGTTGTCCACCCTTCAAGCCCAGTGGGCTCTCGTGTGAGGGGGCGTGTTGAGAAATATAGTCCCACATTGGTTGTATGGGCAACTAATGTGGAGTTTATAAGACCTTGGGCACTCCCACCCTTCGAGCTAGCTTTTGGGGTGGTGACCTCAATGTTCTTAACATGGTATCAGAGTCTCGCCGCCCCCTACTTTCTCTTGTGGCGTTTCTTAGCACAGGTAGGCTGGGCCTATTGCATTGTCCACTCTTCAAGCCCAATGGGCTCTTGTGTGAGGGGGCGTGTTGAGATATATAGTCCCACATTGGTTGTATGTGCAACTAATGTGGAGTTTATAAGACCTTGGGCACTCCTACCCTTTGAGCTAGCTTTTGGGGTGGTGTATCCCAAGGTTCTTTACAAATACAAAAAATATTTCCTTCAATTTGGTATCAGAGCTCTCGATCCTGAGGGCTCTGCTTCCGCATCTACCGATTTTTTAAAAAAAGAATCCTTATATTTTGCCTCTCGCCGCTATTAGTCTCCGTCGGAAAATATTTCCGGGCGACCTTTTGGACCGAGAGGATCACCGTTCAATGTTCCAATCACTGTCATCGTTGAAATTCCACTGTTGACCGTCATTGACCGTCGTTGACCACCGTCTCTGGCGAGTTTTCCGCCGATCCAGCCACGGCTGTGACCTCCACGACGAGGCGACCTCCTCTGTCCAGGATCCACCTTGAGATCCTGTCCGACGCTCCCTCATGCGCGTGGAAGAGACGCGCCGTTCCTGGAGCTGCAGTGGCGCGTGTAACATCCCCTTCTCGAGCCGGTTCAATTAACATACATATGATACAAACAGAAACAGCGGAAGACTTAACTTACGAAAATACGAGTTAACTTTTTCTTTTTCAAATTAGGCGTAAACGAAAATCGGACAGAGTAACCTCTGTAAATCGGACAACTGGGGATTTTCCAATCCCACTCCCAAGAGTTCCTGATAGACAGTTTAAACAATATATATCTCTAGAAGTACCAGTCATGCAATTATACTCAGATACCCAACTATGGGCGCATGCAGAACCTGGCTCCGTGCCACTAATCTAATAGCATGCAATCCAATACATAACATAACTGAATACTACACAGTCATGTCATCATGCCTGAATACATAAATGTACATGTATCGAATATGAACACTATGCAACAATACATCTTTTCTAAAAATACGTCTAAAACAAATAGTCGCCTCCGGCCACCCAGAACTCCACATCCTCATAAAATCCATGGCCAAAGATCAATACAGAAATCATATCAGAACAATTCATATAACAAATGTGTTCACAGTCAATCCCAGGGGAGGACCCCAAGTGGGAATCAGTGTACATGTTCCCAAGGGTGGACCCCAAGCGGAACTCAACAAAACATATCATATTAACACATATCAAAGTAAACACATCAGAACAAAACATATCATATTATCATATAGCTCTATATGAATGCATCTATATCATATATCTCATACATATCATACAACCTGACCACAGTCCGTACACTATGGCGGAACACAAAGTAGGAGCGAACCCCATAAACATAGAGCTTACCTCTCAAAGCTGTATAGATGGCCTATCCAACAACCAAGTTACCAAGCCTCCTCTAATGTAGGATCCTCAACAAGACTCTTAGGCGCACCTAGAACGAAGGGGAAGGCTTACTTCAAGCTCCCATGGCTTCAAGCTCCATCAAAATCCCCATTATCCATGAAATTCAAAATCTTAGATGAGGAAGATCTCTCTCTACAGTGAAACTCACCCAGAAATACTGGTACCAATGGATTCCTCTCGAAATTTCTCACAAGTTTGGCTTTGGAACGGAGTGATTTGGAGGTCTCTAGCTTTCTCTACGAATTTTGGAAGGTTTTTATTCAAAACCTCCATTTCTCTCATTTTGCTCTCTGTATGACGACGAAGAAGAATGGGAAACAATGACTCCTACTCACTTAAGTGAGTTTATTTTTCTAGTGGGTATAAGCTTATCTATCTATGCACCTCCATTTATTACCAAACTTCACCCAATAGACTAGAATATTTTTCTAGTTACTTTTCTATATTTACTTTCACTTTTTGGATAACTTTATTTACCCGCATTTTTACCACTTAACTGTCATTTTAATTCCTCTTTCACCAAAGGTGACTTTATTTTTTTTCTTTATAATTATCCTTCAATATTAAATCTATAATAAATGTAAGGGTCATTATAGCGTGGAGCACCCTCTTCACGCCGGCCAGTACAGACCAGCTCGCATCCTCCTTCTGAGTGTGGATCTGTGATTATCTTGGGTTTTTGATTCTGTTGCAGCCTTCCCACGGTGATTCTTCTTCTCTTTGTTACTGTTCCGGCCACCTTTTTACTGTTCCGGCCATATTTGTTACTGTTCCGGCCTCCTGGTTACTGTTCCAGTGACATTGGACCTTTATCGTTATGACCAGTCAGTTTTTTAGCAAATTTTATGTCTGGCGTTGAAGATAATCCGACAAATCAGTCACCTGTTACATCTTCTATGGCTTCTCTTAGTCCAAACGATCTGCCTACTCTCCATCAAAATTATCGTCTCAATGGAAAAAATCATTTGCAGTGGTCTCAGCTGGTTCGTACAATTCTCAAAGGGCGTCGTAAGATTGCTCATCTTGAAGGACCTGTTATTGCCAAAACAGATCCAAAATTTGCTGATTAGGATGATGAAGACTCTCTTATTATGACATGGCTATGGAATTCTATGACTCCTGAGGTTAGTCAACATTGCATGTTCTTACCTACTGCTCTTGAGATCTGGAATATTCTTCATCAGACCTATTCAATAAAACAAGATGCTGCCACTTACTATGATCTAAGGAACAAGATTTTTTCTACCAAGTAGGGCTCTTTATCTGTGACAGAGTATTATGGAAATCTGAATGGATTATGGACTGAGCTAGATCAGTATGAGAGTTTGAAAATGGAGTGCAGCAAGGATGCAACCACTCTGGCTTCCTCTGTTTGAACGAAATCGGATCTTTGGCTTTCTTTGTGGCCTCAATTCAGAATATGACCCTATATGTGTTCTTGCGATTTCAATGTTAATTCTTATGTTCAGAACTCTAATAATATGTATTTATATGTGCCCAATAGAGTTAATAGCCGTTGGACATCTAAAATTTTGAATTACTTAAGTTATAAGTCACTTCTGACGGCAAGTATTTGATTACTTTTCGGGGAGTATTCAAATAATTTTACAAACCCATAAAGTATTTGATTACTATTCATCAGGTATTCGAATACTTCTTCAACCCATAAAGTATTCGATTACTTTTATGCCGAAATCAGTTTTCATGCTGGTTTTTGAAATCCAATGCATCTAAATGATTTCCAGTGACTTCTAAATGATTCTAAGTGACTTCTAACATATGTATGATCATGTCTCACACTTATATAACAACTCTTGAGTTGTATGTGACCTTGTATTCATGATCAAATGAATGTGTCTTCTATATGAGTTTTTTGTCTATTTATGTAAATCTCAAGTTAAAGCTCAATAAAATCAATCCTATAAGTTCTATGACTCTAAACGAACTGTATAATCAGTAAGTACATGAGTCTTCATTGTCTTTCACTTTGTCTTCGTAGTTTGAGTCTTCTAGTACTTGATTTGTTTTGAAAACTTTGACTTGAACTTTGACTTTGCCAATTTGAGTCTTCTCTTCAACTTTGCACATTGTTATAGACTTGTTGTGCCTTTTAGGACTTGTTGTCATGCCTTATATTGAGAGCATCCTTGTTGTGCTATGTTGGTGCTTTATTATCATCAATACTTCATTAACCATAGTCTTCATGACCTATGTTTCAACATTGTTCACAACCTGCTATATTGTTAAATTCTATTTTGGTCAAAGATATATTGATCATCACATTGGTCCTAAACATATATGTGCTACATCAAATTACTCTTTTAATGTCACATTTTTTGTATAAAATTGGCCCTAAAATGACATCGAATTGTTAGAGAATAATATAAACCATTAGAAAAGGCCCTCACCCAACAACTTAAGTTTTTGGGTTGAAATGGTTCTTTACATGGTATTAGAGTTTCAGTGACCACAAAGTCACGGGTCTGATTCTCACCGCCGCCCACTTTCTAGTAGAATTAAGTAAAACACAAGGTAAACAAAAAATTGGGTCTCTGCAATATCTTCACTTCAAGCCCAAAGGACTCTTGCGTGAGAAAATGTGTTCGAGAATAATATAAACCATTAGAAAAACCCTAACCCAACAGCTTAACCTTTTGAATTGAAATAGTTCTTTACACGAATTGATCCTAGATGGGCGAAACTAGTTGCTTTGAATATCATTGAAGGAGCAATTTGATGTCATTGATAAATGGAGAAGCAGTGTACTGTCATGTATATATTTGGTGGACTAAAATGGGTGTTCCATCGTTCCTATATTGTAGACATTTATATAACCTGTAACCACATCAAATTTAACGAAGTTTGAATATATCAGGGGGCAACAATAGTTGATTTGTCAGTTAATATAACTCCGGATCCAGATTACCGTATTCCAGCTACTGCCTTGGCGTCATCTGTAAGCTTTGCAAAGACCCTCTACTTATTCTGCTTTAAGTAACTAAACTGTTTTTGCTTAACAACTGTGTGATATTTTTCAGACAACAGTGGGTAAAACTCCTGGTGGTGCTGAATCTGCTTTATGGAAGGCAAAGGATGTGGTCACCAACATGCTGGCCAAGGGCTTTATCTTAGGTAAAGATGCTGTAAACAAAGCAAAGACTTTTGATGAGAAGCTCCAAATAACTTCAACAGCCTCAGCAAAACTTACATCTTTTGACCAAAAACTTGGACTTAGTGAGAAAATAAGTGCTGGTGCTTCGGTTGTGAGTGATAGAGTTAGAGAAGTGGATCAAAAGTTTCAGGTTTCAGAGAAAACCAAATCAGCATTTGCAGTTGCAGAACAGAAAGTCAGTACCGCTGGGTCTGCTATAATGAAGAATCGCTATGTGCTCACTGGGACTTCTTGGGTAACAGGTGCTTTTAATAGGGTTGCTAAGGCAGCCGGGGATGTGGGACAGAAGACAAAAGAGAAAGTGGAAAACGCAGAAGAGGAACATAAGCGAAAAGTAGAAGACCAGTTTGCACAGGTCCTTTCTGAGTCCCCAAAAGCCGCAGTAAGTGAACTGCACTCTTTTAAGACTGCTCCTGTTCAGGGTTTGATCCTTTGATTTGTTTCTTGTACATACTTTCTTTGAAATTGCTTCAAATTGTTTCCATATTAGTACAACTTGGTCTCAGTCCATATCGGAAGTGAATGTAGGACAGGTTTTACTAGTTACTTGGACCAGTTTTCTTATATAATTTTCTTTCATAACATAGTACATAATATTCCATCTCTATTATTCTATCTATCATTCCTCCCGTTATAGCTAAAATCCCTTCAATTTCGACGTGGTATCAATGCGGTACCATCCTCTGTGACCTGTCCTGCCACTATTTTGCTGCAGAGTTCTCTAAAATCCAGAGCTCTACATTGTTAGAATAGGAAATATAATATTTCCTATTCTAACATACATCGACTATATTTTTATGATCATGTTCTTCCTTCCAGTCAGCTATCTAGCATCTTACGCCGGTCGCCGGCCATCTTCCATCAGCATTGCTGCCAGAAAAATTTTCTAGTGAGATTTCAGGTTCTTTCTTAATGCTAGCATCGCATTGAGGGGGATAACTTTGTCTGAATTGCTGCCTGGCCCATTTGGCCTTTCTTGCGGTTGTAGCCTGGCCCCATTGGTTGGGTCTTGTAAAGAACCTTGGAATACACCACCCCAAAAGCTAGCTCAAAGGGTGGGAGTGCCCAAGGCCTTATAAACTTCACATTAGTTGCACATACAACCAATGTGAGACTATATATCTCAACAGGTCTCCTAAGTTTTCGTGTGGTTGAAGCTTGCATTTGTTGTTCTTTAAGCTTTTGGGTTAAGGTTTCTGCCTCCTTTGTCATTTATTGCCTTTATTAAACTAGATTTCTCCATTTCTCAAAATAATTTTTTAAAATTTTTAATTCTCTCTGATCCCCTCTTTTCATTCAGACTTCTTACGCAAGAGTCAAGACTGGATTTAATAAGAATGGTAGTCAGTATTAGTTATAAGAAGCAATTATAAACATTCAAGGAAACTGAATGAGTGGATTGACAGGTTGACACAGTTATAATAAATTTATATGTATATTTCTTTTTTTATCATTGCTGATAGTCTCAGGAGACACAATAGGGGGAGTTCCCATTTTTAGTTAGATGGATGAGTAACAACATGCTTTGATTTTGTCCTTAAGTGCGAGATTTCAGAACATATGTACATTAGCAGAGGTGGATTCTCTGCAAGATTTAAACTTTTAGTGTTTACATGATATTTTCTTTCCAGATCAAAAGTATAAAAGTCAGTAATGTTTCCGTGGGAGCATCTGAGAGAGACATTATGGAGTTCTTTTCCTTTTCGGGTGATATTGAATATGTTGAACTGCAGAGGTCAGTAAGTTACTGTGCTTGGTGTTCAACTACAATTTTAGAGTTTATTATACAAATCATAAGTTTATATATTAATGCAGTCATGATGAACAGTCTCAAATTGCCTATGTTACCTTCAAGGATTCACAAGGAGCTGAGACTGCAGTACTACTATCGGTAATCTTCCCGTCATTTATCATCAGTTAATATATATTTGTACCAAACATGGTTCTTTATAAAATAGCTAAGTATCTCATACACCTATCTTTTTTTCCTGGATTGACAACCAAAACACCATATATTCATTATTGAGAGTTTGAGACTTAGAACTATGGGATTGCTTGTCATTATCCAAAAGGCATATATTTAGTTGACATATTCAGCGTTTGGCTAGTTAATGCAGTGTAAGTGAATCACCTAAATGGACAAATTCTATTTGAGAATCTTGGAGTGCCACATGGTAAGAAAGTGTTCATTGAGAGGCTCTCAAAAGTCTCTTTTTGTTGAATCTCTTCCTTGCAACTCTTCCTTAAGTATGGACAGGGTTCTTTTGAGGATATGCATCCTTCATTTGTCAAAAGTTGCTTCTTGTGTAATGGGTCATACATGTTAAGCTTCAATCTTCATGAATAATATACGATGAGTTGATAACATTGTTCACAACCTGCTATATTGTTAAATTCTATTTTGGTCCAAAGATATATTGATCATCACATTGGTCCTAAACAGATATGTGCGACATCAAATTACTCTTTTAATGTCACATTTTTTTGTATAAAATTGGCCCTAAAATGACATCAAATTGTTAGAGAATAATATAAACCATTAAAAAGACCCTCACTCAACAACTTAAACTTTTGGGTTGAAATAATTTTTTACATGGTATTAGAGCTTCAGTGACCACAAGGTCACAAGTTCGATTTTCACTGTCCCCCACTTTCTAGTGGAATTAAGTAAAACAAAAGTAAACAAAAATTTGAGCCTGTAAATATCCATGCTTTAAACCCAAAGGGCTCTTGCGTACGAAAATGTGTTAGAGAATAATATAAACCATGAAAAATGTCCTTATCCAAGAGGTTAAGCTTTGGGTTGAAACTGGTGGCATTAAATATCATTGAATGTGATGTCATTGATAAATGGAGAAGCACTGTAATGTCATGTATATAATTGGTGGACTAAAATGGGTGTTTCCTCGTTTCTATATTGTAGATATTTATATAACCTGTAACCACATCAAATTTAACGGAGTTTGAATATATCAGGGAGCAACAATAGTTGATTTGTCAGTTAATATAACTCTGGATCCAGATTACCGGATTCCAGCTACTGCCTTGGCATCATCTGTAAGCTTTGCAAAGACCCTCTACTTATTCTGCTTTAATTAACTAAGCTGTTTTTGCTTAACAACTGTGATATTTTTCAGACAACAGTGGGTAAAACTCCTGGTGGTGCTGAATCTGCTTTACGGAAGGCAAAGGATGTGGTCACCAGCATGCTGGCCAAGGGCTTTATCTTGGTTAAAGATGCTGTAAACAAAGCAAAGACTTTTGATGAGAAGCTCCAAATAACTTCAACAGCCTCAGCAAAACTTACATCTTTTGACCAAAAACTTGGACTTAGTGAGAAAATAAGTGCTGGTGCTTCGGTTGTGAGTGATAGAGTTAGAGAAGTGGATCAAAAGTTTCAGGTTTCAGAGAAAACCAAATCAGCATTTGCAGTTGCAGAACAGAAAGTCAGTACCGCTGGGTCTGCTATAATGAAGAATCGCTATGTGCTCACTGGGACTTCTTGGGTAACAGGTGCTTTTAATAGGGTTGCTAAGGCAGCCGGGGATGTGGGACAGAAGACAAAAGAGAGAGTGGAAAACACAGAAGAGGAACAGAAGCGAAAAGTAGAAGACCACCAGTATGCGCAGGTCCTTTCTAAGTCCCCAAAAGCCGCAGTAAGTGAACTGCACTCTTCCAAGCCTGCTCCTGCTCAGGGTTTGATCCTTTGATTTGCTTCTTGTACATACTTTCTTTGAAATTCCTCAAATTGTTTCCATATTAGTACTAACTTTATCTTAGTCCATATCGGAAGTGAATGTGGGACACATTTTACTAGTTACTTGGACCAGTTTTCAGTTATATAATTTTCTTCCTTAACATAGTAAATAATATTCCATCTCTATTATTCTCTCTATCATTCCTCCCTCTATAGCTAAAAATCCCTTCAATTTCAACATGGTATCAAAGCGGTACCATCCTCGGTGACCTGTCCTGCCACTATTTTGCTGTCGAGTTCTCTAAAATCCTGAGCTCTACATCAACTATATTTTTATGACCATGTTCTTTCTTCCAGTCAGTTATCTCGTATCTTACACCAGGCATCTTACATCAGCGTTGCTGCCAGAAAAATTTTCTGGTGAGATTTCAGGTTCTTTCTCAATGCTAGCATCGCATTGAGGGGGAGAAATTTGTCTTGATATCTACCTGGCACATTTGGTCTTTGTCGCAGTTGTAGCCTGGCCCTATTGCCTTATGTCCCATTCATTCTTTGGTTGGGTCTCTTAAGTTTTCGTGTGGTTGAAGCTTCCATTTGTTGTTCTTGATGATCTTGGAGGAGAATATTTTGTTCTTGTTGTGTACTTGCTTACTTGGATATTCCCGCTTATGGTTATTCTAGTGAAGTCTCTTCTTCTTTGGTTAAGCAATATTTCAACCAGCTCTTCATGTCGATGGTCATTCTAGACATACATTTTCGCTGATGGTCATTCAGCGAAGTTCTTCTTCATTGGTCACAATATTTCAAACAAATCTTTGGGTTGATGGTCATTGCAACAGTCTTGTTGAGTTGTCGTTTTTAGCATCCTCGAGTTGCCTTTCCAACAATGATGATTTATGGGAGCCTAAATCATATTATTCAGTTATTTTTTATTTTTTTCAAAGGATTTATATATAGCAAACTTATAGCTTACTAAGCTTTAACTTAAGAGGGAGTGTTAGAATATTTAGAATATCTTCAATACATTGTATAGTATTAAGATTATATTTTAGGAATTAATGTTTATCATGTTGTAGGAGATAATTTTATCTCGTACTCACATATAAAAGTGTGTGGGATCCATGTGGGGCAATGTGAGGAGAAGAGAGAGAAAAAGAAAATATAAGCCGCACAAACTTTTATATGTTTATAGGAGATAAATTTATCTCTTACAACATGAGAAACATTAATCCCTATATTTTAATATAGTTAAGAGTATTCTAGAGGATCTCTTATTATTAGTTTTCCTATTTCTATATTGTTGTAAATATTAGAATTTTATCTATTTATTTATATTAGCTAGAATACTCTAGAAGTGTATTTTGGGCTTAGTCCATTAGACCTTTCAATACTCTTAAATAGAGAGCTCTTGTACAGATATTATACGATTCAATAATATACAAATCTTCTTTTCTAGTTGGTATCAGAGCTCTTGATTTTGAAGGCTTTGCTTTCGCAAATCACAGCCTTTAAAAACCAAAACCTATTTGCCTCTCGTCGCCACAAGGCCGTCGTCGGAAAAAAATTTCCGGGGACCTTTTGGCCTGAGAGGATCGCTGTTTCACTCTGTTTTCTCAGATCTATCATTCTACGGAGGTTTCTTTTTCATTAGATGATCGGAACAACTCAAAAAAATAAAAAAAATAACGTATTGTTCACTGGTATTGTTCACGCACACTGTTACTCGACACTGTTCGCGCGCACTGTTCAAGTGTACTGTTCATAAAAAAAAGCATAAGAGAAATTTATTTTATTTTACAGTTCATCGGCACCAGCCACAGGAAATTTTTTCCAGCCCTTATCATGTCGGACGTTGAAGATACTCCAACCAGTCAATCATTTGGTACACGCTCGATGGCTATTCTTTCTCCAAATGACCTCTCTCCTGTTCATCAGAATTACCATCTTAATGGGAAGAATTATTTACAATGGTCCCAACTTGTTCGTACCATCCATAAAGGGCGTCGTAAAATTACTCATCTTGAAGGAACTGTTCCTACCAAAACAGATCCAAAATTTGCTGACTGGGATGATGAAGATTCTCTTATTATGACGTGGCTATGGAACTCTATGACTCCTGAGGTTAGTCAACATTGCATGTTCTTACGTATCGCTCTTGAGATCTGGGATGTTCTTAGATAGACTTACTCAATGAAGCAAGATGCTGCCACCTGCTATGATCTGAGGAATAGGATTTTTTCTACCAAGCAAGGCTCTCTATAATAGAGTATTATGTTATAATGAATGGGTTATGGCCTGAGCTTGATCAGCACCAGCAAGGATGCAGCCACTCTGACCACCTCCATTGAACGCAATAGGATCCTTGATTTTCTTTGTGGTCTCAACTCAGAATATGACCCTATTCGAGTTCAAATTCTTGGTAAGGAAAAATTACCTTCTCTTTCTGAAGTTTTTCACACTGTCAGGGGTGAAGAAAGTCGCAGGGCTGTCATGATGGATACCAAAGTGTCTGAAGGATCTATTATCCTCTCATCTAAAGTTACTACTCCAACTGCTTCTGATTCTGAGCCCACTGACGAGTCTGCTTTGGTCTCAGCTAAGCCACCTGCAAGGTCTTTTCCTCCTAAGCCTAGTAAAGAGGGGCGTTGGTGTAACTATTGTAAAAGACCAGGTCACACAAAAGAGACTTGTTACCGTCTTCATGGAAAACAACAGGTTCAGGAGAAGCTTGGTAAGTCAACCTCACGTGGTTAGTCCTTCTTTGCCCCCTCAGACATTTCTCCTGTGAATGAGACCTCACAGATGCCTGGTAAGTTTACTACTATTCGTCATGAGGAATTGAAACGACTTAGGTCCATATTTGAATCTCTCAATAAGCCTTTTGGTACTGGTACTTTGGCTATGATTGGTAAGAACTCATGCACTCATTCTTTTGTTGCTTCTTGTACTGATTTCAAAACTTCATGGATTGTGGATTCTGGTGCTACTGATCATATGACTTGATGCACTGACCTTTTTCTTTCTTATAATCCTACTGTTGGTATCTGTACTATAGCCGTAGCTGATGGATCACACATATCAGTTGCAGGTTCTGGTAACATTAAAATCCAATCCTCCTTGTGTCTCAAGAATGCTCTCCATGTTCCCCAACTTTCTACCAATCTCCTTTCTACTCATAAGCTTACTACAAATTTGAATTGCACTGTAACCTTTTTCCCTGCTCATTGTCTTTTTCAGGATCTCACCACGGGGAAGACGATTGGAGTTGCTAAGGAGCAGGGTGGGTTGTATTATCTGGTTCCAGACTTTGCTGAGAAGGTACCAGGGATCAGACTTTGATGACTCGTTAGTCTACTTCAGATTCTCTTATTTGGCTTCATCACAAGCGCTTGGGTCATCCTCCTTTTAGTTTACTTAAGTCTATGTTTCCGTCTTTGTTTGTGTCTCAGTCTGTTGAGTCTTTTAATTGTGATGTCTGTCAGTTTGCAAAACATCATCGTGTATCCTTTCCTTCTAGTGAAATAAAAAGTATTGAACCTTTTACTATTATTCATTCTGATGTTTGGGGACCTTCCAAAGTCCCTAATGTTTCTAGTGCTAAATGGTTTGTCTCTTTTATTGATGATTATACTCGGATAACATGGATATTTTTTATGAAAGATAAGGCAGAAGTGACACAGTTGTTTATTCAGTTTTATTATATGATTGAAACTCAATTTGGTAAAAGTATCAAACGCTTGAGATCAGATAATGGTAAAGAATATGTTAATCAACATCTTTCCCAGTTTATTAAAGACAAAGGAATGACTCATGAGCTGACATGTGTGGATACGCCTCAACAGAATCGGGTTGCTGAAAGGAAAAATCGACATTTGCTTGAAGTCACCAGAGCATTGTTGTTTCAGACATCTGTACCCAACTCTTATTGGGGAGAAGCTGTATTAACTGTAGCTTATTTGATCAACCGTTTACCCTTCCGAATCCTTAGCCATGTAAGTCATGTTGATCTCATGACTTCTGTATTTCCTTTTGTTCCTATTATGCAGAGTCTCTAGTCTCGTATCTTTGGATGTGTTGCCTTTGTCCATGTCCATAAACAGCATCGGAGTAAATTAGAACCTAGAGCCCTTAAGTGTGTCTTCCTTGGCTATGCTCCCAACAAGAAAGGATACAAATGTTACCACCCTCCAAGTCATAAATTCTTTGTCTCTATGGATGTTAGTTTTCATGAATCTGAGTCCTACTTTCAACACCCTCAGCTTCAAGGGGAGAACAGTATAGAAGCTTAATCCATTTTCTCTGAGTCTGAGTCTCCCTTTCTGTTGCCTACACTTATTACCCAAGTTGAGAAGGAAGACTTAGTTGCTAAGACTGAAAATGGATCTAAATCCTCATGTGACATGCCTCCTATTGATCGACAAAGAGTACGCAAAACTGGGACACCTGAACTAGTGTATCAAAGGAAGAAACAACCCACACTGCTCCATCAGCAACTGCAATCGCCTGAACCGCTGGTAAGTACTTAATACACTACTTTTATTCTTGAGCCTGATATTAATTCTGATGACTTGCCCATTGCCCATTGCTGCTCTCTATGAGCATAGAAGTTTTATTACAGCACTTGACTGCATTTCAATTCCGAAATCAGTACATGAAGCATTAAAGGATGATAATTGGGTTCAAACCATGCATGATGAGATGAATGCGTTGGAGAAGAATAATACATGGGAAGTTGTTGATAGTCCAAATGGAAAAAGGGCAGTAGGGTGCAGATGGGTGTATACTCCAAAGTATAATTCTGATGGGACTCTTGAGAGATATAAAGCTCGACTGGTAGCCAAGAGGTTCACACAGACCTATGATATTGACTACGAAGAAACATTTGATCCAGTGGCCAAAATGAATACTGTAAGAATTTTATTATCTCTTGCTGCTCATTTTAATTGGGATTTGAAACAATTTGATGTGAAAAATGCCTTCCTCAATGGCGAATTAGAAGAAGAAATTTACATGGAGATACCACCAGGATTTAACTCTACAAATAGAGATAATAAAGTTTGCAGATTGAAGAAGGCGTTGTATGGCTTGAAAAGATCCCCGCGTGCTTGGTTTGGAAGATTTATCAAAGTTATGCTTTCAGTGGGATACAAGCAAAGTCAAGGAGATTATACCCTTTTCTTTAAACATTCTTAGGAAGGTAAAACCACTATCCTCCTAGTTTATGTTGACGATATGATTATAACCGGAGACGATATAGATGAGAAATGTGCTTTGAGAAAAAGACTGACTGCTAAATTTGAAGTTAAAGATCTTGGAAATCTGATATATTTTCTTGGGATAGAAGTTGCTGCCCTCACCCACCAACTTAAGCTTTTGGGTTGAATTGGTTCTTTACATGGTATTAGAGCTTCAATCCTCACCGCCCCCCACTTGTGGAATTAAATAAGCACAAGGTAAATCAAAAATGAGCTTATGCAATAATCTATGGAATTCAAGCCCAAAGGGCCCTTACGTGAAGGGGTGTGTTAGAGAATAATATAATCCATTAAAAAGGTCATCACCCAACACCTTAAAGTTTTGGGTTGAATTAGTTCTTTACATGGTATCAGAGTTTCATGTCGCGGGTTCAATTCTCATCGCCTCCCATTTTCTCTTATGGAATTTTCTTAGCACAGGTAGGTGGGCCTGTGCATTGTCCACGCTTCAAGCCCAATGGGATCTCGTGTGACGGGGCGTGTTAGAAAATAATATAAACCATTAAAAACCCCACACCCACCAGCTTAAGCTTTTGGGTTGAATTGGTTCTTTACATATATATTTTATGATTTGTTTCCTTTTTTTTTTGTTTCCCAAGGTATCCTCCAGCCGGCAGCCAAAGACTAATCCTTTCGAGGCGGGAGATCACATTAAGTGGGTAAACCTCTCCCAACAAAGCATTTTCCATACACACGGCCAGAGATCGAACCCCTGTCAACATGCTTAAGGAACCCAGCTATCTACCAACTGTATTGGGCTTTTGTTGGTTATGATTTGTTTCCTTAGTTTAGAAATATCCTATCTAAACTAAGGAAGGTTTTCGCCACTATTTGGATGAGACTAATCCCTTTTGTGACGTAGAGCGGGAAGGTTTTTGCCACTATCCTTGTAACATCCCGTGTACATCGGTGTATTAACTAAGTACTTAGATATTTTAGGGTTTCACCCACTTTACATAATTGCACTTTTGCTCCTATACTTTTAATATTTGCACTTCTAACCCAAAAGTGACTTAACTCAAAATTTTACTTTTCAATTAATTAGCCCTTTAGTTACACATTAATGCTCAATTAATGCCGCTTAATTACTCGGGTTATTATAATCCCAAATTTCTTTGCCATCCTATTGAAGGATTAATTCTTTGTCTTTTGTAATCACATCAATCATTCCATATGACAACATAATACATAATATTCCATCTCTATTTTTCCCTCAATCAGTCAGTCCTCCCTCTCTAAGTCCCTATAACTTCAACATTTTCCTATCTCAAAATGGGAAAAAAAAAATGCTTATTAATTGCAATTTATATTTTTTAACCTTACCTATATAGATCCTAGTTTTACATAAATCCATATAAGCTGATCCATTATTTTATTTTCTCTTGATGAACATTTGCATGCAGATGCTTTTTGATACTTATCAGTAATTCATTATCACAATAGTAAGCATTAATCTTGTCTAATTGTGGCCTAAACAATATCATGCTTAGTTTGACCTTGCTCCTGCACTGTACATCCATATCATGTGCCCTTTTTTTCTTTTAATTTTGTCTAACGTCTTCATTTTCAGGTGGTGGAATCTCCAAATTATAACTCCAATAGCAGAAATGCTAAAGCTTTTTCTCCCATCAAGAAATTTCTGATGCAGTCTTATTATGACAGACATACGAACTTACATGATTCAGATTTTGAAAATTTCATGTCTCAAGAAGTCCCTTTTGGTTTGTGTGATGCGCTTCCAAATAACCATAATTTCTTGTTGAGACCGTCAGTTCTAAAGCGCAATCTTATTGGTGAAGGTTCTCATCGATCTGTGTCGACATTAATCAAATTTCAAACCCAACAGTCGAAGTCTTTGTCTGAACTTTTAAGCTACTCATGCGAATTCATAATTATAGAAAGACTGTCTTCTGGTGTTTTTGCTGATCCATTTGAATTACAACGTCTTGTTCAGCGTGGTGGTAAATACTCTTCCAACTGATTTTCAGATTTAAAGAAAATATGGGACAAAAGTCCATGTTTTTAATTTCCAGGAATATTTCCATGTTTCTTCAAGTTAATAACACTGTTTATTGCAGTGTTCAATGATATAGCTGTTTTTGGTGATACAAATCTGGAGCTGCCTTCATTCTTGTCCAATCGTTCTGCTGTTGAAATCCACTTAGATGTTGACCCAAATATATTGCTAGAGCCAAGTGATATCAAAATAGAGCTTCCATTGCATGCCAGATATCAAGTAAGGTTATTATGTTTCAGTTTATATCATAAATTCTTAATGCCATTTTCAGCTAAGCTTGCCCTTTATATTTATTTGAGTCTAATGTTACGCAAAGGAAGTAGGGTATGTATCTTTTGAAGGCATTATCATCATATGATGATTTCTTCAACCTGAGATCAAGATATGCGAGTATGTAACAATACACCGTACCTAATTACTTTTATTATCCATTAGTGCTATACGTTGTAGTACTATACTAGTATTAGTATTTCTATAGGTTTGTCAATTTGCAAGAACAAAATAGGTGTGGCTTGAACAATATACTACATTAGTATAACTATAGTTTGTCCTTAGCAAGTACTCTACATGATTTCATCAATTCCTATCTTTACCACTTCTTTTTGCAGCCTCTGAATGAAAGCGGCTACTCCACAGTTGAATTTGGTGCACCGGATATGTTAGTGCGCTGCAGCACAAAGGAAAACGTGGAAAATCGCAATTGCTTCTTCAAATTGAAAATTGATGATGCTAATCTATACGATGCTGGTATTGTTTGGAGTATACCTTCTGGAAGAAAGGTACATGCTGAAATTGTTTCCGGAGTTACATTTATTGCAGCCTTATTATCAACTCTTGTAATTGTTGTCACGTGTTATATTATTCTAACAGCAGATTGAGCAAAGATTTAAAACAATCTTAAATGTGTTTTCATATGTTTTTTTTTTTTTTTAATTCAGTGGCTTTTCTCATTAGTATTTGTTATATTTACTTATGTATTTTCTCAATAGTCAAAATGAGAAAAAAATTGCTTGATATTTTATTTAATTAAACATAACAGCAGTTCTTTCTGAATTCCTGGTAGGTGGAAAAGAAAAAACGGTGTGAACTATTTTTATTTTTATTTTTCATACTCGTTATGTTGTGCAAGTGTAAAATAATGTTCATTTCCTAACAACCTTGGACTCGTTCTTAGATGGGACATCTCTTTTAGTATTCTAGGAGTATCTACACCCCTTTTAAAAATTTGGGATTTAAAGGGAAATAAAAATAAAAGTGTGGATGTAAATGGAATAAAAAAAAAATTATTTAGAAAAAAGGGTATTAAGTTTGATATTCCTGTAATACTAAAAAAAATCCCTTAGATAGATTTTACAATCACCCGCTAGACATTTTATGTGGGGCGCTTGGGTACTAAAATCAGCATTTAATATGTGCAAGTTTGTGTGTTATTAAAAATTTATCTCGGTAAAAAAAAAAATTATACATATTAATAGTTTATTTGAGTAGTTATAATAGGTAACGTTAAGCTACTTGGGAATTTCCCATGAATAATAAAGCTAAGCATTGAGATGGCAATTCATTAGTAATAAGTATTGAATTTGGGTAATAACTTCAAGAGAAACACCATGAGAAACAAGGTTATGTTTTAGGACAACAAATCATAGACAATCTTCCAAGAGAAACTTAGTTTCACAACACAAGCCACAATGGTGAAATAAAAATCAAGTTAAAGCTCTTATGGTATCTACTTTTTAGAGTTAATTCTTTATGCTTGTGTATAATTATGTTTTCTTTCATGAACTCAACATTTCATAATCTCTCAAAATTGCAGGACTCTTATACAAACAATCTTGGCATATTTTTCTAACAAAGGAAAATAACCAACATGCAAAATGGGATAATCCTTTTTACAAAAGCAAAAATGTGCATGAAATTATTTTTTGACTTGAATTAACTTTCATTCGTGAAATTCATGTATAAGATCACAAAGGTTAACAAGATGATTTCAATTGTTTTGGCATGTTTTGAATACGTTTTAACCTTATAAATATATATTTTTTTTCAAGAGTCAATTATATGCTATTATATTGTTAGGAAGTATTTGAAAGTGAAACAAAGTGAAAAAAAATGTATTTATAGTCATTTTTCACTTGCTTTCAGGAAAATATTCAGATACTTTCACGGAAAAAAGCAAATATTATAATACAAGTAGAAAAACAATTGAATACATTGCATCTAGAATATATAAAATGACTATAAATATGTAGTTTATGATTATACACTATATATACACTTCTAACATCTTTTAAACATGGGAAATGCATTTGTTATGATACATGACAAATGAATAGTTGTTATGTTAAGAAAAAGACAAATTATATAATATTAAAAAAATAAAAGAACACATTATTCAATGAATTTATCTTGTCTTTTTTTTAACATAACAACTATTCATTTTGTCATGTATCATGATTTCCCTTTAAACATATGAGTATCATTTGTACATATTTTAAGAGTATTTTGAGAGTTAAAAAAACTTCATAAATATTCATAAAGATCGTGTACACAAATACATCAATATTGAACTCCTATTCAGGGGAGGAGTCAGGTGACTGCGGGTGGCGGCCGACACCACCCCAGAAAAAAAAAAAAAAAAATTGAAGAAATTTTTTTATATAGAAATGGGGACTTGAATGAAAAGACATACCCGACAACTGCTGCGCACAAAACTGGTTCATATGTACACTTCTTGTGGGTCATTGGAAGAAGCTAGAAAAGTGTTTGATGGGTTACCCTGTTCGAGCGTGTATCCATGGAATGCGTTGCTTGTGTGCTCAACACTTATTCAGAGATGAGGTCTTTGGGGGTTGAGTTGAATGTGTACAATTTCTCCAGTGTCATCAAGAGCTTGAAGACTCGTGCCCTTTTGATCAAGAATGGTTTGGTTGATAGCTCCATCCTCAGGACTAGTTTGATTGATATGTACTTTGAACGTGGCAACACCATGTGTTTGAGGAAATTTCTGAGAGAGATGTTGTTGTGTGGGGAGCTATGCTGTGCATAACAGCATGCAGAGGGGAGTATTGGAGTATGTAAGGTGGATGGTAGAGGAAGGAGTAAAGCGGCATTCAAATTAATTAATCTATTAAATGTATATCATAATCTAATTAATCCATCTCTGAAAAATAAAAATTACCATTCAAATTTTTAAAACATACATTTCGTTAGTCAAATTAGTCTCTGCACCCTTTTGCTCAATAATTTTTTTAATTAAAGGAATGTATGTTTTAAAGACATAAGTAATAATTCTCATCTTTCAAGAACTAATATGATATATTTTAAGAATTAATGAATCTATTTAATCACCTATTACTCCATGCACGTACGTGGTGTAAAATTTATCTTGATCATAAGTAAATTAGTAGTATCAACCAGTCCCAGTGAACTACTAGTGATAAAACCACAACATTCAGAGAAAAGAAGGAACTCTCTCATGAAATTGCTGATTAAGTATTCAATGAAGCAAGAGCCATGCAGAATTACACTAGCCTTAAACTACAAGTCATGTATCCATGACCTTGGCAATGAAGATCTAAATATTTGGGGGAGCAATATTTTCTCCATTTTGCCTGATCTAAATATCCATGACCATAGCCTCTGAAAACACCTAATTTACATGCTTCTCATCCCTCTTCTACAACTCTTTTCCTCACAGCTTTCAATAAAGCTGCACCTTGAGGAGTTTCACTGTTTTCCGTTTCACATGCCACCTTGTCTATTTCCTCAGCTCTTTCTTCAAGTTGATTCTTGGCTCCTTCAGAGTTGGAGGTGCCTGCACAATCATTATGCTCACTACTTCCCCACCATTTATTTGAAATAGTTTATAAGCCTTCTGATGGAAACTCAAACTTAAATTCATCCATTGTTGTCATTCCTTTGGTCAACCCTGAGTTAGGCGATTTCTGTGGACGCCCACATAACCTCATCTCTCTATTAGAGCAAGAGTTGGTGGATTGTGACAAAGGTTATAACATGGGATGCAATGCAACGGAGGTTTTATTGTAAAAAATGGAGGCATTGATACAGAAGAAGATTACCCTTATCGTGCTTGTGATAATACATGTGATCCTAACAGAGTATATCTCGTTTATATCATCATTTGAGCTCTTTTCTGAGATATATGACAAAATTTGTGTTTGGATTAGTTTGTCCTTAAATAAAAATAGAGATTATTCCATAGAATTTAACCAAATCCAAATGACAACTAAAATTATATATATCTCATAATCAAGATATCTTAATATATATCATAATCTAATTATAAGCTTTTTGTTTTTTTTTTTTTCCAGAAAAATGCTCGTAGTAGTAAGGTTTCCATTGATCTTGTCAAGCTTTTTTTATTTTCACCCCCTCTTGTTAAAATTCCTGACTCCGCCACTGCTCCTATCATAAAATAATAATATAAGGTTGTCAAGCACTCAAGAAACTTGGTGGTTAAAAGATTTTTAAGCACTTGTGGAGCTTAATAGATTATAAAGTTCCAAAGTACTTAAAAATTTGGAAGTTATAAAGTTTTTCAAATAACGGTAAATCTTGACATATAGTTGAAGAATCATTTGAGCATCTTGCAATCTAGACATAGGTCACAAGTCAGGTGATTGAACCAAATAAAATGTGTTTGTATTTTTTTTTTTTTGGAGTTACCCAACCCTAATTATCTCTTTGAGACGAGTTGGCTCCCTCCGGTATCCCCACGAGCTTCGACTCTTTGAGCCGGCTATGGAACTAATCCGGAGTGCGGGGGAACAGTGATGGCTAAAGGTTCAGCCCCCTCCCCAAGAATGCATGTGTTTGTATTCTTCCTATCCCTTAACTCTTATTTTCTAACACTTTATTTATTTCTTATATCTTAGATATGTTGGAATAAATTGTATAATTGTGAAAGATCATGTACTGTGGTTTACTTGGATATATTTCTAAGTCTTTCACATATTAAAATTTACATGAAATTATAATTTAGAAACAAAAAAAGGAGTATTTGTAAAAAAAAAATTAGTGCTTAATTCGCTCTCCCTTTAAGTCTGAAAGTCATATTCCTAAAAACTACATGATTATGTTAAAATCACTTTTTTAATTACGATACGTAAAAATATATTTCACTACATTTCAAATTCATTTTAAATTAATATTAATTTTACAAAATTAAGATAGTCATTAAAAATTCCAAGTCATTTGTAACACCGTTTGGTTAGTTTTCTCCGTTGATGGACGTTGATAGCGGCAAGAAAAATCAGTTCACAGCAATATTTTCGAGTTTTTACTGAAGTAACAACCTATCTTTGACCGTTTTCATATATATATATATATATATGGGAAAAATATTTCTCAATGAGCTCGAAATAAGTTTATCTCCGGCTATCTCAAAACTACGTCGCTTTATTTATTTATTTTCTTATATTAATTGATTCACTTTTGAATGGTTATGATTTCCTTTTTCTCTCTCTTCCTTTATCACCGTTGATCTATCTTTGTACGGTTATGATTTAGTAACCGGAGATAAAATTATCTCAAGCAGCTTGAGAAACGATAAGCCCTATATATATATATATATATATATATATATATAAAGAAGGTTATACTTACAACATTTTTTTTACAACCTCTTATAACCATATCTTAACACCGTTGATTTCCGCCAATCAACGGTTATGATTTTCACAAATTAAATTCATTAATTAATTATTAATTCATAATAAATGATAACCATTGATTGGCGAAAATCAACGGTGTTAAGATATGATTGTAAGATGTTGTAAAAAAAAAGGTTATAAGTATAACCTACCTCTCTCTATATATATATGGGCTTATCATTTCTCAAGTTGCCAGAGATAATCTTATTTCCGACTACTAAATCATAATCGTACAAAGATGGATAAATAGTGATAAAGGAAGAGAAAGAAGAAGAAAACTATAACCATTCAAAGGTGAATTATTAATATAAATAAATAAATAAATAAAACGACGTAGTTTTGGAGTAGACAGAGATAAAATTATCTCAACCTGCTTGAGAAATATTTTTCCCTATATAGATATAGAGAGATACATTTACTAATTTTTTATTTACAAACTACACTATGTATTTCTGAAAGTACACTAGGTTACATTATGTACTTCCAGAAATACATAGTGTAATTTACAAAAATTTATAAATCAATCCTTCTCATATATATATATATATATATATATATATATATATAGGATCAGGATCATTTCACACCAGTGTAAGTTACACTCTCAATCTTATCCGTTGATCCCACTTATATATATATATCCTTCAATACCAAGTTGAAAAGTCAAGGCAAGGAGTGACTTTCGCAGTCAGATTTTTTCACAATATTCAAGAGCGTATCTTTTTTTTATCTATTTTATTTTTAAAAGTAATATTTTTAAAATCACCAAAGCAAAATCAATTTTTTAAAATTATTTAAAATAATAATATTTTCAAAATAAACAAATTCTTTTAACATCAATAATTATAAAATTGATTCTTTTAAAATTATTTTTATAAAAACAAATTTAATAAAATATAAACTAAAACCCTACAAAGACAACGACGAGGACCAAGAAAGTGCCGTTTAGGAATACTCTAGCTGTTGTCAGAACGTAGTTGCAAAGAAACAAATAATATAATTACAAGATAACTTAGCAACTACGGTTGGATACACATTGCAAATAAAAACTCCGAAGGAAACAAAGTTTGTAGCTGCTAAAAGAAGACATCTACAGACTACCAGTAGATTACAAGGTCGCCATCATCGGAATGTACCTGGCAGAAATTGCCAGGAAACTCAAATAAAGATAGTGATATTCATTGGAATTCGACCTCTACGTTAAGCGATATTACTACTACATAATTTATAAATCTTGTTTTCAATTTAGAGGAACTGACCAATCATAGAGGGGTCAATTTTACCTACGAATCTAAAAAGGGATGGATTACCGTTTAAAAACGAAATTTAAGTACCAACAGCAATTTTCCACCCATCCCTTGCCATATCACGTTTTCAGCTTTCAAAAAACACAGATGAACAAGTTCACTCAACATAGAATAGAAGTGTTCATTATGACTAAAAACCAATTACCAACTTAAATTCATCGAATGCATCCATTTTTTTCTCCATATACAACCTTAGACCTACCCAAACAAACCAGTAGCTTCCAATTTTGGAAAAGAACACCACTAAAAAGAAAAAAGATAATCCTGAATCAAGTTATTGCTGAAGAAGAATCAGCACTGACAATTTTAGAGTTGCATTTACAAGGAAAAACAAAGAATTGATATATATATATATATATATATTTTTTATTAAAAAACAAGAGAACTTACACAAGTCGTGACACAGCCTTGAAACCCCAAAAACCAACATAAAAAGAAAACTAGACACCTCCACAACAAAATCACGATATACTCCAGATCATGTACTGAAATACGATGCGACAAGCTCCAGTCAATCATGAGACCCGGTAAAACACCACTCAAGTGAAATCATCAGCAAGGGAGATGCTATCTGCTGCTCTGTAAATACAGCATTTACTCCATAATGAATGCAGAGACAATCTTTCACTAAGCCGCAAGAACAATGATCACGATGAGAAGCACAATGCCAAATATCACCAAAAGCAAGCATGTCTTCAAAAAAAAAAAAATAAGAACACGAGATTAACAAAAGGAAAATACACAAAGGTTTGAAAAGAAAAAAGAAAAAGGTGTGACCAAGGCAAAGATCAAGATGGTAGACAAGCTAAAATAGGTACTGTAGTAAAGATCAAGATTACCAAAGACGAATTTGATCTTTGGGTTTTTGAAGCTTTGGTAAGTTGAGATTTTGCTTGTGCAGTCGCTGCGTGGGAGTTCTCAACGTTCGAGCCAATATCATCTGCAAAATGAAAATTCATGATATCAGATAACATGAACAAGTACATAAAAATAAATGCATACAGCAATATAAAGATGCATGTAATCAGCATAAACAAACAGGGAAGAAATAGGTTACCAATCATGGCTCCTTGTTCATGGACAAGCACAGCAAGATCTTTGAAAATCTCATTAACTTCACCAATTTGCTGCTGTATTTCTTGCATGCCTTGCTCCCTTTCTTCAATGATAGCCTCATTGAAGGAAATCTCATTATCTAAGAACAAAACTTCCTGCCTGCAGCATGAATAATGCAAGAGCTGAGGTACTAAACTAATGCAATATGTTCAATTTGAAAAGTAACCTTTCCTGATCACAAATGGAAGTTTATTTGTTTATCTAATTTAGTGACACAGGATAATTCTGCCATTGATTATGTCACTAACTCCATAGCACCACAGAAAATGTAAACAGAAAGAAAAAGTGAGTTTTCGGTGCCAAATCTTTTCAGCATAAAAACACTTTGCAGATGTACAAGCAAGCGCTACGGTAATAAATGGGAGAGGTAGCCTTTTCTGATAAATAATTTCACATTCAGTTTTTAATTAAACTTAACAACAAAGTGTGGATCAATTCATGTTGTAACTCCTTTGAACCACCAAAAAAGTAAAAAGAAATAGGATGGTTTTGGCATCAATGCTTTTTGGCCTAATATAAACTTTCAAATGAGTAATACTAATATTTGACCTAAAATTACATTTCAAAGTGAAGTTTGTCACACCAAAACCCAAATATCATATTAATTTTATAACATATTGAAATTTGACAAGGGGAACATAATCTCTGGTCCGAAACGATGCAATAATCTTGACAAAATGAATCTGCAAATTACTGATTTACTATCATTAAGATACAAGAAATCACCTCCTGGATTCCACAAGAAGGGTACGCTGTTCTGGAGTCTTATCAGAACCAACATCTATTTCGCTAGCTGTATAGCTGCAAGCCAGAAAGAAAGGCCCATGTCACAACCATTGTATACATAGGTAATCAGAATTAATAACAAAGCATGAGAGTGACTAAAGAAGCACAATTGATCACCAAAAAACCAAGTGCAGACAAATAAAACTGTAGTATTCGAAAAGTAACCAACTCCTCATTTTTCAGAATCAGTTCACATTCTACAGAAGCCACACACCACAAAAAACAAAAGGGAGGGACACAGTCTTGCCCATTACTTCTACAAACTCTAATAATAATTGATAAATCACCTGGAAGGAAGAGCTGCTTGTGGAACAAAAGGAGTGTAAGCTGTTTCCCTCTCAGCAGCAAGACGTTGTGCCTTCTGAAACTCTTTCAACACAGCTTGAAAATCTTTTGCAAGTTTAGCATCTGCTATCTTCTTGCTTGCCTGAAAACATAATAAATGTTTTTTATTGAGGTAGAAGACAGTGAAAGTGACCTCAATTATGAGATTCATTAAAAATTATGCAAAACAATTATGAGATTAACTATTCAGTAAAACTGCAGCAAGCATTTAAGTAAAAAAAAAAAAAAGTTTTCAGAAAAATTCATTCATTTTAGAAGTTGATCACAAAAAAGTCTCCAAGACCATTAAACTGCTTTGCATATGCAGATGAGGTACAACACACAATGAAGGTCCAAACTTACATTAACTTCAGCATGGTGATCCATGTCACTAGCTTGCTTAAGTTTAGCTGATGTATCCTTCACCAATTGCCCAATATGTAGTCTTGTCTTGCGGCTGCAAGTTGAAAATGTCTAACATTGTAAGAGCCCAAGAAGTAAAACTCGCATAAGACTGTTGTTGTAAACAATGTTCATTAGTCATCCACTATATTAAAACTTAAAATATGAAGAAGACTCCAGTACAGTTTGCAAGGCTGAAAACAGTTCAGTTTCTCAATAGGCCTTGGCATGGGTCTGGCTTCTAATAAGTTTCATTTTATAATAGTATAACTACTTCAGATTATGAGTACATGGGAAAATCATTATGCTGTATAGCACAGCATGTCCTGTTCCTGATATGAAAAATTAGATATAATTCAAGATTAATCCAAACTTAAGAAACAACTAGAGGATACAGGACCTCAATTAAAGTATTAGCATTAGAAATTTTGATTATTTTGCCTTTCTAGTTGTAAATTGAATATGAGAAGTGACAGCACAGAACAAAATGTTAAATGACAATAAGACTAACAACTTAAAAAGAAGCAGTAACTCCAAATTACAAAGCATGTAAACATGCAACTTGGAGTTACATTAAAGAATATAATGTCGCATCAACCCCACCCCCTCACCCCTTAAAAACAGTTAATAAATAAATAAAAAAGCAAAAAGAAAGTTCGTCTCGGAAAGGAAATGGGAAGAATCATAGTTAAGCGGAGGCACCCTTTTGTCCTCATACAAGAAAAAAAAAAAAAAAAAAACTCTTGATTCTCTAAAATAACACGGCCCAATGCATTTCAATTGAGGAAAAAAAAAAAAAGTTACTGTAAAAATTAGTTTAGAAAAAGAAAACCCATCCTATTAACACTATTTACATTAAAACGCACATACACTTCCCTCTTAACTTCTTTACGATTTCGACTATATTTATGGTTCAAAAAAAAAATCCACAACGGAAATAAAAACACACACACACAAGTCAATGAATACGAGCCAATTGTTCAACAATCGCTAAGACGGAATCAAGAAAATTCAGCGATGATGAAGAACGGACAGCTTCTCACGGAGCTCGGGGGTATCTTTGGGGGTTCCGAGGGTGTTGACGAGCCTCTGAAAAGTGGACACGGCGGTGTTGATCTGGAATATTCCGGCCGCCACCGCTTGCGTAGAGTCTTGCTTTCCATTGATCGCTCCACGCCTCGATCCGAAAGGCCGGCCAGCTTCGATGTCCTGAAAACTCATAATTCCCTAATTTGTTTTTCACGATAACCCTAACTTTCTCGAGAAAATTGGGAAATAATTTTCCTGAGAAAGGGAAGGAAAAAGGCGAAGGAGTTTGGTTGTTTTAAATTACCGGGATCTGGGAAGAGATGAGAAGACCAAAGGTGTTTTTTGGGGAATTAGGGCATAAAAGAGAAGGAAGATGTGGAACGCACTATTCGGTAAGGTTGTTTCTTCGGTGTGTCTATCTATGCATTTCTTTGTTGTGTTATTGCAATAGTTTAGGCTAGCTTTTGGCTTAATATGGTTACGCGTACATAAAAAAAATTTGATATCGCTAATTGTTCATTCCTCTTAAATATTTAATAATTAAAATAATATTATTTTATTATTTAAATTATTAAAAATTAATTTTATTAATTTTATTTAAAATGAATTATATACTATAAACTGGCATGTAGAATTATAGATTCTATTTATAGAAAAAAAGTCAATGATTGCTTTCTAAATAGATATTTTTTAAAATTGTATGTTTATTCAATTTGACTATTTATAAAAAAGTTTTATTAGTATCATGTTACATAACTTAATAAAATTTTCTTACACACAATTAAGAGGTGGAGTTCACATTTTTTTTTTCTCTTTCATCATTTTACTTTCTCTCTTCTTTATTGTGAGAGTAGGAAACTTTTCTTATATCCTACAACATTATACTCATAAAATCCTTTATAAAAAGTTAAATCTAACCTAATATAAATTAAAGTTTTACAAGAGTTATGTGGTAGGAAAAGTGATTGTTTAATGTTATAGAGATTCGTTTTGCATGCCGTAGTTTTTTTTTTTTGTTTCAAAAAATGTGAACCCCACAAAATATTATATATATAAAAAATTTTGTTGTGTCATGCTAAATGATAAATACAAATCTCTATAATTATGCTGTAAGTTCTTACTAACTCATTTATTCCCCACAGGTATGTTGACGTGGATAAGTTTGGGACACGTGGTGGATTTGTATAGGGTGGAGTTCAAGCCCTATGTAACAGGCGTCATTGGTGATTAAATTAAATCCTGATGGGAAATAGATCCTCTAATATGCTAAAAAAATATGATATGATCATGTGAAAAGATCACAACTATACAAAGGTAAATCAACGGTCATGATTTTGTAACTACCTATTTTATCATTTTTTTCTCTCCTCCTTTTTTATCATTGATCCACCTTTGTATGGGTTATGATTCCACACATTACATGCTCACGGAAATTTTAACATTAGAAGATCAGATCCATCCTGATGAGAGGGAGAAGCGGAATTTGGGGAAAGAGCTCTGCGCGTTGCGGATATTCTAAAAGGAATTCAAATCATGATTGCTTTTTTGTTTGTGCCTGTTTGGATTTACTATAAAAAAAATAAAATTATCTAATATTCTGTTGTAAGTATATTTGATTATATTTTATGTATTAATTAAAAGTAACTTTATAAAAATATTTTTATGTCTAGATTACAAAATAAACTAAATTTAAGAATAAAAATAGGGATAATATTGTTTTTTTTATATAGATTAATATTATTTTTTCTTATCGACCTTATCTACTCATTTAATATAATTGGATCAAAATCTCACTTTTTATCTTCTCTTGAGATTCTGATCAAATATTATTGAAGATGACGAGATAAAATAGGTAAGAAAAAAAGTAGATAAAATAACCAAGGTTGTTGAATCCCAACACATATCGTATATCGTTTGGTCGATTTTTGTGTGTTGTGTATAGTGAATCGTGTCGAATAGTAAAATGCAGAAATATAATAAAAAATAATTTAAAATATATATAATTAATATTTATAAATCCAAATTCCAAAAAAATCCAATTACAGAAATATAATAAAAAATAATTTAAAATATATAATATAATTATTATCATATAAGTTCAAATTCCAAAAATGATCCAATAAGTAAAATGCATAAGTAATTAAAATGCAAACCAATTATTCTCCTACTCATCAATCATTAAGATTAATATTATCACTACTATTACTATTAGTAGGGGCGTAAATAGACTAGGTTAAGCTAGGCTTTGACTTAAATAGGTCAAGTCTGTGTAAAAAAAAAAAAAAATTGGTCTAACTTGGCCTGTTAGCCTGTGTGGGCCCCAACTTACAAGTTTGACCTGACCTGTATTTAAAAAATAAAAGTCTTGGCCTAGGCCTGTTAGCCTATTTAAGCTTATTAAACATCAACAATTAAAAGAATAACTAATATAATATAATTTTATTATTCAAATTTATTAAAATATTTATTTTATTTAAAATAAATAATATGATATAGGCCGACCTGCAGGCTTATAGAGTCGATATGTATAAAAAAGCCTATGGCCTATTTTTCTAAATAGGCTTTCTTAAAAGCCTAGGCCTGTTCTATTTCCTATTCTAACAGGCTAAGCCTAACCCATTTACACCCCTAACTATTAGCATCTATCAGTGACATAACTAATCCATCATCCTCTTCCAAAAAGAATCCTTTTAGTTTATTTTTAATTTAAATCGCAAATCAAATCTTTATTTCTTTTTTTATATTAAAAATTAAAATTTTAATTTAATTTTTGTATCATATGATACACGTATCGTATCGTAAGATACAGTATCGTATCATTCGATACAAACTCCTTTCTGATGCACCCTACGATACGTATCGTTGGGCTTGTGAATCGTACTGTGTCGTATAAATCGTTGTGTATCGTAAGACACTAATAACTATGGAATAACCTATTCCATAAAAATATTGAAATTATAAATTTTGAGAAAACATTGTTTTTAATGAAAATAATTAACAGTGTTTTAATAAATTGCTCAAATATGTTAATTTCAGAAGGAAAAAAATAGTTTTTTTAGTGTAAAAAGCTGTTATATCAAATAGAACAAAATGTAATTTAATAAAAATTTTAGAAGGCATTTGTTTTACGTTTCGTTTATATACGTAAAAAAGTTAAGATGGATGTAAAATTTATAAGAATTCATGTTGATAGCTTAAATATTGGCATTAAATTATCTTGAATAGTAGACTTTCTTCTAAAATAAATACTTCACCTTAAACCAAAATTGAGATATTTAGAGTACAATCAAGCAAATTCCAATTGATGAATGAAATTGCGATATGACAGTGTGGTTATTAGGGGTGTTCATCAATCGATTCAAACTACGGAGGCCGAACTGAAAAACTGATAAACGAATAAACTGAAAAACCGAAAATCGAAAAAAATTCGCAAATTTTAATTGGATTGGATCGGTTTTCGGATTGGTTGATTAAAACCGATCCAATATATTAATTTTCCTCTACCTAATTGGATTTTTCCCCAATCATAGCCCAAAAATTTTTAAATCCAAGATCCATTAACCCATCAACTAAACCCAAGAAGATCTATGTACATCACACACACACATGATACCATTGAAGATCTATGGTGAGATTCATATGCAGTCCGTCGTCACTGATCTTAATGATGAACCTAGACCTTTTATATCCCAAGATGAAACCTTGGGCAATGAGGGACACATGGTTTGCTAACCTTGGTTGAGACAAAACAACCACATTGCTGGAGTTTTCGCTTACAAACATGTTAGTTGGGATTTTTTATATACCAAGGTCCATTCAACCTCCTACATTCGAGCTCTCAATTCCAGCTATCATTTGTATGGATTTTATTTCCCTCATATTTACACAATCCCTCATATATAAGCCCAAGTTGGGAGAAGTTTCTCTAGATTCACCAATCGTATTGCCTCCAATTCCAACCTCACCTCCAGCACCATTGTTGTTCATGTTTGTTGTTCATGTTGTATTTTGGCTAAGTCTAGTGATTATGTCATTTGTATTTGGGGCATTTGATTAGTAGTTATATTTGGTATTGGATAAATGTAATTGAAGTATTATAGACCTTGTGCAAATTTAAGAAGCATGTATGTGATGGAAGGACAATAGGCCTATTCTAGATTATGATGGTATTCAAATATGTCAAATGCATGAAATTGAATTATGTGATTGAAATGAGTAATAATTTGTAAATGGATTTAAGTAATGGATTATAAAGTGAATGAGAAATGATGTAAATATGTTATGGGTTGTAAAAGCACCAAGGTTTGTTGATCCTTGTGTGCCACCCTTGTCAATTAGGTATCATTTGATGATTTAGAACACACTTTGGTAAAATGGGATTAATTAATAAAACAAAGAAGATGCCGTCAAAATTTCTAATAATTGATCAGTTTTTAAGCCAACTTTGGAAGATTATATCTCCCTCTACAAATGTCCAATTGGGATGTTCCATACCTCATTTTAAAGGTTGAGAAGCTATGTTTTTTCCAAAATTTGGTGCCATTTAGAGTTGTGTAGCGTCTTGTAGGTCCAAGGGAGTGAAGACTGGCCTGACTGGTCATGTGCTGGAGTTGTTCGGGTCCCTTCTTAAAAAAATGATATCTCCCTCAATTCTTACTCAAATTAGGCTTATGATATATCAAATTTGATATCAAGGTGTTTAGTACTCTGTATAAAAATCTGAGAGAATTTGGCAGAGAAAATCGTTGGGAATCGCATAAATGATGAGGGATGTTTGGTGCTCTGTTTGTAGTTGGTTAGCAGCTTTACTTGTCCAACTTGTTGGAAGGGTAAAAGAGTCTAGTTTGACATACTAAAAGATGAGAAATTAATGATAAGTGTGTCACATCCAGTACTGAGAAAACAGAAGCATGTTTAGTGTTCAGAAAACTGTAAAAGTGAGTTTTATGCTAAGTCCATTTATAGGAACCTCTTAGCTACTTCAAATATATATTGTATGATAATTAGGCAATTAGATTACTACTTCCGTGTTTAGTTTTCAGTTGCGATCACAGTTTATATCATTGTATATTATGGTTATTTTAGATTGCATACGTAATGAAAAGAAAAAAGTTTACTCGTATTTTTAAATAAACTGTTGTGATTGTAATTGCGCTTAATATCATAATCAATGTTAACAATACAGGTGTACAAGGGCTGTTACATAACACATGCATCTTCTTTTATGGATTTTATAGTGTAGCTGAGTTCTGATTCCAAGACTGTATAATGAGACATAATGCTAGCCATGACATGCTTTTGAATTATGATAAGGCATAGTCAATGGTTTTATGATTTATTGAGATTCATATCTCACTCATTTAATGGGACTTATTTCACGTCAAAAGAATGAAGGAGGCAAACCTAATAGCTCATAAAAATAATCATCCTA